ATGTGTATATGATCCCTTGGCATATGTATGGTCTAAAGTCCCTGGGCTCCTCCTTCACCAATTCCTGAACCTTCAAAGCCTCATCATGTTTTCCTTCAATCACCCAAATTTGCGCCTCCAAAAGCTTGAAATCCCTAAATTCTGCCTTCTTGCCTTGCTTCTTACACAGCTTCATCCCCTCCTCGATTCTTTTCTCGATTTACTTCAAATCCTGGGTCGATTTGGACTCGGATGCAGCCATTACCAGTCCGTGATAAGCCTCAACCCTAAAAGGGTCCTTTGCCAGAATCTCATTGAATCCATTTTTCGTCGTTTCCACCTCTCCACTGTAAGCATACAAATGGGACTTCAGCAACGGCCACTCCGTATCGCTCGGGTCAATCTCCATCAATCGATCGATAATGCCAATAGCTTCTGCAATTTTCCGGCTCTGGATCTTCATCTCCATCAAACTCCTTAACGCTCCAACATCGTTTGGATTCAATAGCAAATTCTCTTCCAGAACTCTCTCTTTATCCTCGTCGGAAAACGCGGTCTCCACGGCGGCCGGGGCTGAAACGGGGGCTCCAGAACTCTCTCTTCTTCAAATCTGCTCTCTGTTCAATCTCTTCAAATCTGCTCTCTGTTCAATCTCTTCAAACCTGCTCTCTGTTCAATTTCTTGTATCGTTGAAGAAGAAGAAAACTAAACCAATTACATAGGACAAAAAGAATAGGACCAAAATGTGAAATGACAAACTTACCCATACCAAATCGGAGCATTCGCCGGATTCTCAACGGAAAACGGTCAGAGGGGGCAAATCAACTAAAAACAGTTATTTCCAGGGACTAAATCGATGATTTAGCGATTAAGGGACTACATTGATATTTCGCTAATAATTGAGGGACCAAATCGTTGATTTTCCCCTATTATTATTATTATTATTATTATTATTATTATTATTATTATTATTATTATTATTATTATTATTATTATTGATGATTTAAAAAAAATTGAGATTAAAAAATTCACCAAAATTTTAAAAAATTCACCATTTTAACAATTTATCTTTAATCAAAACACTAAAATTATTATTTAATAACTTAATAATTTGCTCTAAACTGCTAAAAAGTAAAACAACACATACATTTTGGGTTAATCTTTCCCAACCCACTAATAATAAATAATAAATAAATAATAAATAATGAATAAATAAATAAAAACTAAAATAAGAAGACAAAGCTAAGGTTTCTTAAATAAGAACCTTTTAACTTCTCAATACTTGCAACATTGATGGGCAAACAATTATGTTTGTACATCTTATATAGTGGAGCTCAAGATCTCATCTTTTCAAACATTTTCAATGTGGGATCAAAATAATCTCATATCATTTATAAAGGGAGCTCGTGGCTCCCTTTTTTTTTTTTTTTTTTTTGTTAATTTTAATTCAATTTTGTATATAATTTATTTGGATTATTATTATTATTGTTGTTGTTGTTGTTGTCATGTTGTTGTTGTAATTTGATTATTTCGCAAATTCGACAAAACTTTAACAAATTCGCATGTTTAATATTTTATATTTAATTATTTTAATCACTTAGCAATTTGCTCCAAACTGCTAAAAACTAAACCAATACATCTACATTTTGGGTTAATCTTTCCCAAACCCCCTAATAAATTAATTTTTTTTTTAAAAAATAAACTAAAATAAGAAGCCACTAAGATAAGGTTTATTAAATAAGAGCATTTTGACTCGTTGCGCTTCAATAAGTTGAGAAAGTTTATATGAACAGATATTATATGTAACAGGATCGAATAGTTATGTTGTGGAACCGTGTCCACTGAACTATATGTTTATAATTATAAAGCTATATATTCATAATCTTTGAACTTCATATTCATAATTATTGAACTCTATATTCACAATTACAAAACTATATGTTCATAATTACTTAATTATATGTTCATAATTATAAAGCTATATATTCATAGTTTTGTTTGGATTATTATTATTATTATTATTATTATTATTATTATTATTATTATTATTATTATTATTATTATTATTATTATTATTATTATTATTATTATTTATTATTTGTAATTTGATTGTTGATAAATTCGCCAAAATTTTAATAAATTCGTCATTTTAACATTTTAACTTTAATCAAAACACCAAAATATATTATATAATAACTCAGTAATTTGTTCCAAACTGCTAAAAACTAATACAGCACATACATTTTGGGTTAATCTTCCACAACCCCCACTAATAATAAATAAATAAATAAAAACTAAAATAAGAAAGAAAAAATCTTCTTAAATAAGAACCTTTTGACTTCTCAATACTTGCCCACATTGATGGGCAAACAATTATGTTTATAAGAGGATCATTGCTCCTCTTATATAGAGGAGCTCTCTCTTTTCAAACATTTTAAATGTGGGATCAACATGATCCCACATCATTTAGAAAGGGAGCTGGTGGCTCGCCTTTGTTTTTTTTTTTTTTTTTTTTTTTTTTTTTTTTTGTTAATTTTAATTTTATTTTGTATATAGTTTTTTTGTTTGGATGATGATTATTATTATTATTATTTATAACACCTCTCAAAGCCCCTAACAAGGTTCACCTTCAACACCCACTTCAAGAACACACCAAAAGACCATAAAGATTTCATCTTTAGATAAAGATACCTTAGAAAGCACTAAAAACACAAAAGGGTCATAGATCTTACCCCCCTAGATGCTCAAGAGTAGGAAAGGTGGAATCTTAGAGACAAACTTTGAAGATCTTGGAAACCCCAAACTTAGCTTGAAGGAAAAGCTAGCTAAATTTCTAGAGAGAAGGAAGAGCTTATGTTTTAAAAATGTAAGGGAAAGAATGAAAGGTGTCTTCTATGTTAGCTTGGAATACAATCATGAGGTGAAATGTCTTCATTACCCTTACTAAGATGAAGAAGTGTAAGGGAACAAGGGAACTATTCTCAAAGCTTTAAGTACAACACCTTGACTTGGGTTGACTAGTCAATTATTAGTCCCCGACTATTGAATTTTCAAGCATTAAAAGAATAAATCACCAATTTGATTAGGATTAATTACTTAATTAGTCTCTAAATAGAATTTAGATTTGCGAGATGTCACATTGCTCCCTTGATTTCCTCGCTAACTATCATAAGGTTAATGGAGCTGAGGTAAACCTACCAACTAGACAGTGTGTTGCTATCAAACGTATAGGGAATGTGAAGTTGAACAATGATCCATGGCTAAAAGAGGCTTTGCACATTCCTTCGTTCAAATTCAACATAATATCAGTGAGCAAACTTATCCAAGATACTTGCTATAAACTGATTTTCATGACTAGGCAGTGTTTATTCCAAGGGAATCATGGAGTGATGGCTGTTTTAGCTAGACAAGAGGGAGGACTCTACTTGCTGATGGAATCTCCAAGCTTATTAAATAAGACCTATGCAATGTAGTGTAATAGCACTGAAATTTGGCACCAAAGACTGGGGCATTTCCCAGTTAATAAACTCCACTTGTTTACTGATATAAGTGTTCCTACTGTTAAGAGTATGGCTTGTGATGTATGCCACATAGCTAAGCAAAAACGTGCCCCCTTCCCCTTAAGTATCAGTTCTACTAAAGCCTGCTTTGATCTTATTCACACAGACAAATGGAGACCTTTCCAGTCTGTGTTCTAAAAGGGGAACAATACTTTTTAAACATTGTTGACGATTATTCCATATTTAAATAGTTGCATTTGATGAGGAAAAAGTATGCAACTAAGAACTTTATAAATAAATTTCATGCGTTTGCTCTTACACAATTTGGTGTTTTAATCAAAATCATTCGTAGTGACAATGGCTCCGAGTTCAACATGGATGATTATTTTTGCAAAAGTGGTATCATCCAACAGAAGTCTTGTGTGAACACCCCACAATAGAATGCAATAGTCGAACGTAAGCATCAAAACATTCTCAACGTTGCCCTGACTCTCAGCTTTCAGGCTCACCTCCCGTTGGAGTTCTAGGGATAATGAGTGATGCACGTTGTGTTCCTTATTAATAGGCTTCCTTCACCAGTGATTGAATGGTCAAGTCCATTCCAAAAATTATATGCCAAGACTCCAGACATTAGCAACCTCAAGGTGTTTGGTTGTCTCTGTTGTGCTACCACCTTGCCACATGCTAGACACAAGATAGCGCCTCAAGGAAGAAAATGTGTTTTCATAGGCATGCCGGCTAACATCAAGGGGTGTATTCCATATGATCTTCATGATAAATCTATTATTGTGTCACGACATGTTAGTTTTTATGAATAACAGTTCCCATTCTCTAAGAAGGAACCCTCCTCACACATGCCAGAATCTGAGCCATCTCTGCCTATTATTCCTATCACAACCACACTGGATTATGAAAGAGCCTAACCAACACAATTCTACTCATGTTCAGCCGAGACACACCGTTGAGACATTGGCAGAATCCACTAGTCAGCAACCCATACACACCATTGACGATGAGCACTGCAGTGTCAATGGTGATGAACAGCTTACTCATTCGAATCTACTTCCACCTAGACGGTCTGATAGACATCGACGTGGCCCTAGCAGACTTCAAGATTATTATTGTGAGGCTACTATGAAAAAGGGTTCGTCTCCCCATCGCTTGTCAACAGTGATATCATATGATGCCCTTGCAATGCCCCATAAGATGTTCTCCATGGTTGTCACTACGATTGAAGAGCCACATACGTACAATCAAGCCATCCGGCATAAGTGTTGGATGAATGCCATGGATACTGAAATCAAAGCTTTTCAGGAAAATGACACATGGATTCTTATTGATTTACCTCCCAGGAAGACACCCATAGGATGCAAATGGGTGTATAAAGTCAAACTTAGAGCGGATGGTTCAATAAACCGTTACAAGGCAAGTTTGGTTACCAAGGGCTACACGTAGCAGTTGGGAGTAGACTACATCGAGACATTCTCACCTGTGGGCAGGCTTACCACAATACGGACGTTCATGGCTGTTGCTTCCTCTCGAGCCTGGCATGTTCACCAATTGGACATCAATAATGCGTTCTTGCATGGGAATTTGGATGAGGAAGTCTACATGATTCTTCCACCAAGTTTTCAAGGAGAGAAGCCAGGTCAGGTTTGCAGGCTCCTCCGGTCTCTCTATGGGCTCAAACAAGCCCAAGCCGGCAGTGGAATGCAAAGTTGACCATTGCTCTGTTAAACGGAAATGGAATCCCCGAGTGTCGTTCTCAAAGGATGACAAGTGGGAGAGTTGAGTATGCGTTTGAGAGACAACACATAAGGCAAGCTAAACCAATCCAAAACAAGTGGAATCATGTAGCAAGGTAGAGAAACACAAGTATTCTAAGTAAGGAAAGAACAATCAAATGGAATGGAGATTGGACAAACACTCATAGGCAACGTGCATTTGATTACAAGATATCACGAAGGGTGATTCACAAATTACTACAGGGGTAAAAGGCACTTGCACTAGACTACGTAGAGTCTAGACTCTTAATTCCTAAGGCGGTTAAGGCATTTTCACAAACACATTGTCTACCTCCCCTCCCGGGTCTTGCCCTCACGGATCGTAGGGCTGGGATGATACACTTTTAGACTAGGAAAGAATGGCAATCTCTTGCACATTCCCCCTTTCCAAACACTTGCCTAATTGTGGCCATCAACTAGACAAAGTCAAAACAGTAAAGCACATCACATAGCAATTCAATTTATCAACACTTCCACTCAATGTTAATCAAACATGCCTAGAATGTCATATGTCCAAGAATTGCAGTCCAATCAAAGAGTTCTAGCCAATTACTAACATGGAGAATAGGAATCTACTTCTAAACATGGATCAATTCAAAAGGAAGAAAGTAATTGAGATAGAAAATAAAAATACACAAAGATAGAAAGGAAAGAAATATCAATCAATTGCACAATCCAATCTTCAATTGCAATTTCCCTCTTCAATCCTCTAGCAATTCTAATGTTTCTCTCTCTAGGATTCCTAATCTAGCTCTACAATTTCAGGAGAAATGTAATAAAATGTGTGTTGTCCCCCCAAAAGGCTAAATTTCTCCCCTTTTATACTTCCTCTTTTCGCGCCTTGGAGGGCTTTCACCCCATGCATCATCCCACGTGTGTGGGTCGAGTGCGTGGGCCGATCACTTAAGTCCCCACGCAGCTTCCCACGCATGTGGGTCGCATGCATGGGCATGGCTGCTCCTTTCCGCGTCTTCTTCTTTTCTCCTCCACTGTTTTGTCCTTCCCGCAATCACCTGTAAGGAATAATAGCACGTTATTCTTATGACTTGTTTATGTGTGCGTTTAATAGACTTGTACTAATTTCTCCTTATTTCCTATGCAATATGATCTAGACACACACAATTATGCTTCTAAAATACCTTCAAGAATGTACACTTTTGGGCACTTATCAAAGGTTTCCACACTTTAGGCTTTGCTTGTCCCCAAGTAAGAGAATCAATACTTTCCTAATCTCAACAAGTGCCAAAGATGGAACAAAGAAATCTCCTTTCTCAAGTGTCGGAACGATTAGGGCATGTATGAAATTCAGATAAGTGACATTTTTCATGTTATCAAGCAAGTATGGTAGATCATGCACAACTTTCAACGGGGTCATCGTGAAAAGGGTCGGAATTTTTTTTAATAACACCTTGTTATTTTCTCTCTCTTTCGACATCTCTTAATACAATCTCAAACCCTAAATATTTTACGGTAGTGTTGGCCCGCCGAATGGCTACCCTAGGCTGTAAAACCAACAGAAATCATTGAATTTTTAACCACCATAAAGTGGTAGGAACTTGCCTAGCTTAGTCGGTTGGAAACCAGTGTTCCAACCACTTGCATCCACCATATCTTTTCTTATATTATTCAATTGTAGTGTTCAAATCAAACATTATATTTAGGAAATATGTGAGTCATATTGAGGTACTTCCCGCAATTAAATCTTTCACCAAATCTCTTGGACGATAGAACACTAGGAATCTATTTGGACATAATCCCTATAGTGCCTACTGAACCATTAAGTCAATCTTGTATGGGCCTATATATATTTTTCTTCTGTTAGTTCTGTGATAAGATGTGATTATTAAAAATAAAAATAAAAAACAACATTTCAAAAATATCAAATTACAATTTTTATTTCCAATACTTATAACCTATTCAATTCATAATATCCCCATGCGTTAATATTATAAGACACTTGGTCACATGGCCGGATTTTGAGGCGTGCAATGGAGCAATAACATAGGGCCTCAATTTTTAGAGGGCCTAATATTTACACCCTTGATACTTATTTAAAATAAAATTAATACATTTTATAATAAGAACTCTGATTTTTGCATTCAACTGGTGTTACATCGTTCATTCTTATTTGAAATATAAAAATTATATATTTTACAGTATTGATTTTAAAGGTCCATACTTATTTGAAATAAAAATCATATATTTTACAATATTAATATTGATTTTAAAGATTGAGCTTATACTTTTGGCATGACTTCATTTATTTATAAGCGGCGCCACTAAAATAAATAAATAAAAAATAAAAAAACCGGCCTTGCTTGGTCATATTTTTGTAAATCAATCAAATTATGAAGTATTTAAAAAAAGAAAGTCGTCTCTGTAATACATACAATCATGTTTTGATAATGTAGCTTTTAAATAAGGGCGGAATAACTGTAAAATAAAATTTAAAAAAAAAAAAAAAAAAAAAAAAGAAGAAGATAACATTAGTTTTAAATAAGGGTGGAATAACATAAAAAGAAAGTCAAAGTATTTAAAGATACACGTTTTAAAAAAATAATAATTGTAATAAAAACATTTACCTTATTTACCTAAAAAAAATTGGCGTTTTGGAATTAAGCCTAATTATTTTAATTTGTGTAGTGTTCAAACATTATATTTAGAAAATCTGTGAATCATATTGAGTTACTTCATGCAATTACATCTTCCACTAAATCTTGCTAGGACGATAGAACATTATTAGGAATTTGAGATTCAATCTTCTTACAATTATACAAAATAAATAACTTTTTGATTTATGGGAATAAAAAAATTCGATCGGTAAAATAAGACAAGTATATAAATATATTAAATATATTCTTTTAAAAAGACGTATATATATATATGAGTACATATATAATGAAGTTTGAAAAGATATTGGTATTTTATTTGGTCTATATATTTGCATTCATTGTGTGAATAATCAAGCCAAAATTAGTGCATAATCCCCATTATTAAGAAATAATTTAATGCCATTAGTAAAAGAGAAAAAAAAAAAACGCAACCGCAATAATGAGAGATAAAAACATTTACCATATGTAGCTCAAGAATTTGGATATAAATAGTGCAAGAATTAGGTAGTCGAGAATCACAAACATTTCTTTACCTTTTGTATTGAGTGAGTGAGTGAGTAAGATGGGAAATAGCAAGAATCCAAAGCTGCAGGCTTCTCTAGTCTGCTCTTTCCTTTGCATTTTGTTGTTGTTAATACACAACAGCGACACTGCAAATGCACAAGATCAGCCGGGACAGATTGGGTTTGGGTATCAGGTCATCTCGTCGGCGGTGGATGCCTCCGGCAAGACGTTGACTGCCCAGCTTCAGGTCATCCAGAACTCATCTGTTTATGGACCTGACATTGTCAATCTCAGCCTTGTTGCTAGGTAATAATATAATTGAGAGTGTAGTTTAATTCTTTGTTAGATCAAATGTTTGACACTGCATCAAAAATTATAGTTTGTAACGAATGCTTTAACTTTGTTTCATTTTCTTTATACGTCACACATTTTTTAGAGTCAGGGTGCTAGACTTGCCTAGTTATAACAATCTCCTAGACACATGTGCTGAAGTTGGCCCTTTACCGGCCGTTTGTCTAACAATCCCTTAATCACATGGTGATAAATGACTTGGCCTTCTACTGGCTTCTGTCCAAAAATTCACCTAGCCACATAGTTCTGGATTTAGCCTTTACTGGCCTCCCTCCAACATTCTTGAATTTTAAGAAACTATATATGTTTTGGTACTAATATAATTAAATAAATGTGTATTGCATGGATGCAGCATTGAGACAGCAGGTCGGCTGAGAGTGAAGATCACAGATGCAGATAATCAGAGATGGGAAATCCCAGATGATATCATTCCCCGCACAACAATTGCAAATTCTTCCTCCATATCCCTAGCCCAGGTTGCAGAGGGAGGGAATAATCAGTCTTCCATCTCAGACCCAAACTCCGACCTGGTTTTCACCCTTTACAACACCATTCCTTTCGGCTTCTCCGTCCAACGCAAGTCCTCAAACGACACCCTTTTCGACGCCTCACCGGTGGCGGGTTCCAATGAAACCTTCTTGATCTTTAAGGATCAGTATCTGCAGCTTTCATCGTCACTGCCACCCAACACTTCGTCTCTGTATGGGCTGGGAGAGCACACGAAGACCACATTCAAGTTGCTGTACCCCCAAACGCTCACCATGTGGGCTGCTGATATTCCCAGCTCTAATCGCGACATGAATCTCTATGGCTCCCACCCTTTTTACATGGACGTGAGATCCCTCCCTCAACCCGGGGTCACCCATGGGGTCTTGCTGCTCAACAGCAATGGCATGGATGTTGTGTATAATGGCGATAGGATTACCTATAAGACCATTGGTGGCATTCTTGACCTGTATTTCTTTGCCGGCCCTACGCCTGAGTTGGTGATGGAGCAGTATACAGAACTCATTGGCCGCCCTGCTCCTATGCCTTACTGGTCCTTTGGGTTTCACCAGTCCCGCTATGGTTATGCGAATATTACCGACGTTGAAGGAGTGGTTGCTGGCTATGCAAACGCCTCAATACCCCTTGACGTTATGTGGACTGATATTGATTACATGGATGCTTATAGGGCTTTCACTTTTAATCCTGTTAATTTTCCCGCGGATAGGATGAAGACATTCGTTGACAATCTTCATCAGAATGCTCAGAGATATGTGCTCATTCTTGATCCAGGTTAACTTAATTAGTGTCACCGACATAGCATATTATATTTTAATTTTGAATTGTTTTGATGACTGACTCAATCTATTATATATTGTTGATTAGGGATTGGCATTAACGATACATATGCCAGCTTCACCAGAGGCATGGCAGCTGATATCTTCATCAAGCGAGATGGCGTTCCATACCAGGGACAAGTCTGGCCTGGAAATGTATACTTCCCTGACTTTATAAACCCAGCAGCCACTGCCTATTGGATCAATGAAATCAAGCTTTTCTGGGATGTTGCTCAATTCGACGGTCTTTGGGTGGACATGAATGAGATTGCTAACTTCATGACATCTCCTTCCAATGACTCCACCCTCGACAATCCTCCCTACAAGATCAACAACTCTGGAAACCAGAGGGCAATCAATGAGAGAACTGTCCCTGCAACTGCCATTCATTTTGGCAATATTCCCGAGTATAATGTTCACAACCTCTACGGATTCCTGAATGCCAGAGCCACCAACTTAGGCTTGATCAATGCTACTGGTAAAAGGCCATTCGTGCTGGGTCGATCTACCTTCGTGGGTGCTGGCAAGTACACTGCCCACTGGAGTGGTGACAATGCTGCGAGTTGGGATGATTTGGGGTTCAGTATTCCGGCCATCTTGAATTTTGGACTGTTTGGGATTCCCATGGGTGGAGTTGACATTTGTGGCTTTTTTAGAAGTACAACAGAAGAGCTTTGCCAGCGCTGGATCCAGGTAATTAATTATTAACTTTCTCATTGTTGGGCAGAAGTCGATAATGGTCAAGTCTAACATATATATATGAATGAATGTAGGTAGGGGCATTCTATCCCTTTGCAAGAAACCATGGTGACAAGTCCAGCAATCGCCATGAACTTTATCTCTGGGAATCTGTTGCTGCATCAGCTAGGCAAGTGCTCGGGCTGCGCTATCGTCTCCTCCCATACTTCTACACATTGATGTACGAAGCACACACCCGGGGTGTCCCCATTGCAAGGCCGCTCTTCTTCTCATTCCCAGAGGACATCAACACATATGAGGTTTACACCCAGTTTCTCCTGGGACAGGGGGTGCTCATTTCACCAGCTCTCACTGAAGGTGCGGTTTCAGTGGAGGCCTATTTCCCAGCTGGAACCTGGTATGATCTCTTCAACTACACCAACTCCACCGTGGCAGAAACGGGGAAGAATTTCACTCTGGACGCCCCTCGTGAAAAGATAAACGTGCATCTCCGGGAAGGCAACATTCTGGCACTGCAGGGAGCGGCATTGACAACACAGGCAGCCCGCAACACTTCGTTCGAGCTGCTGGTGGCTCTTGGCAGCTCAGGTAACAGCTCTGGTGAGGTTTTCTTGGACGATGGAGAGCAAATCGAGATGGGCGGTGCAGGAGGGGGGTGGAGCTTAGTGCGTTTCCAAACCAGTGGAGTGGGAGCCAATGTAACTCTCACATCAGAGGTCACAAATCCAGATTTTGCAGGAAACAGCACTTGGATCATAGAGAAAGTTACTGTTCTTGGTATTAATAGCAGCACCAACTCATCTGGTGTTCTGGAGATCCCTGGCCTGAATCTACCAATTGGAATAAGTTTTACGTTGCCACTCACACCCCAATAGTGAGAATGAATAATCACTGGGATAAACATTATTATATTTCTTAGTTTTGCCTCTTCATCAGACCATTGTACTTCTGATATGAGTTAATAATTTCAGTTTATCAGAGTAAAATAATAAAAATAAGTTTTGATTTCAATTTGTCTTAGTTGTTGCTGCTTCCATCTTGGTTCTGTTTTGTGTAGATGCGGCACTCAAGCCAGGCTTGAGAAACTTATCAATTTTTATAACTTTAGTATTTGTTAAATTATCACTCTTCTCTACCTGATATTATAAAAATTAAAATTATTGATTATTTGGAATTTAGAAAATTAGTTTGTGCAGTGTTTATAGGAGTTAGTTTTAAATCCAATCCATTTTATTAAATAAAGATAGATTGTGATGAATAAAGCAATAAATTAATAGTGGTAGGAGATTCATACCTTGGAATATGATATACATAAATAAGTGGTGATGATAGGGTATATAAGCATGTAGCAATGGTGGTAGGTAAATTATACGTAGCTATGTACGCATGTTTGAGGTAGGTAAGTCTTTTACTCAATTGTTATATCGTGCACCAGCGCACAATGCATTGTGTGCCTTAAAAATTCCATGTTTCATATGTACATAATTGTATAGTGGACCACACATAAACTCCTAATATAATATACACAAGAGTAATTTCAATTTTGGTCCTGTGAATATATGAGTCTTGTTAATTTCAATCCACAACTTTCAAAAATGTTGATTTAGTACCTTGACTATGTAATTTTTATCAATTTTGGTTAGTCCAGCTAAATTACTGACCAAATCTCACCTAAAAATTTTAATAGGTCAAATAATGGGGGTATTTTAATCATTTTACTCCTCTTTTCTTTCTTCTCCAGCGAGCCCATCCCTTCTCTCCACTTCCGGCGATGATTTCTTCCTGCAAGCTTCACCTGTTGAAGTTCATCCTCTAAACTCGGCGAAATTGGCACCATAATTGAACACTGGGTAGAATTCATGTGTACACAATTGTTGAAGTTCATCCTCTAAACCCGGCGAAATTGGCACCATAATTGAACACTGGGTAGAATTCATGTGCACACAATTGACGCATGTGCTCCATCTCAACAAAAAGCTCCCGACGAAATTGGCACCATAATTGAACACTGGGTAGAATTCATGTGTACACAATTGAAGCATGTGCTCCATCTCAACAAAAAGCCTACCTTTGGTCGATCTAGTTATATGCTAGACACGTGGACCGTAGTCATTTATGGAAGATGACGTAGAGATTCGAACCCATGACCTTTGGTCTGGCTCTGATACCAAGTTGAAGTATGTGCTGCATCTCGACTAAAAGCCTAAGCTGATAGTTGGATTGCACAGTAATGGTTATATGCTCAACATACACGGTAAAGCTTTCAGAATTTAAACATAAAATCACTTTAGATATAGCAGGTATAATAAATTCGATGAACTCTAAAATACAGAAGAAATCAAAACCAACTTGGGGAGACAGAGAAATGATAAAATATCCTAAAGCAGTTGTTCCATAACTTGTTTGAATGAAGTCTTTGAAATTGTTGGAATTGTTTTTGTATTTTGTTGACTTTGTTTTTGTTGAAAAGTCTACACTTCTACTTTAGTTCCAATTATGAGATGTGTTCGATTTCTTAATGCCGGCGTTTTTGTTCGAAATGGCAGCAAGACAACTCTTGCTTTGTTTTTGTTGAAAAATCTACACATCTACGCATCTACTTCGATTCCAATCTACACATCTACTTCTGTCGCCATTCCTCGTCCATAACCGACGCCGGTATGTCTTCTCCGGCGAAGAAAGGGAGAGAAAGAAAAGTGTTGCAAAAAGACTAAAATACTGTCATTATTTTAATTATTAAAATTTTCCGGTGAGATTTGCCGGAGTGACTAAAATTGATAAAAATTGCATAGTTAAGGTACTAAATTAACACTTTGAAAGTCGTGGACTAAAATTAACAAGACCAGTATAGTCACATGACCAAAATTGAAATTTACTCTATACATAATCTTAACATAATACATAATACACATAAACTCTTAACATAATACATATGAACTCTTAACATAATACACAAAACTCTTAACGTAATACACATAAACTCTTAGGGTGCACAATGCAATGTGCACCCTAGTGCACGATATAATTTGCCTCTTTTACAATATGTTGGCTATCTCAGTTCTAGGAATATGAGCCATTAAAAAGAATGTTTTACATCTATTTATCCACAGTCTAGGTTGATCATATTCCAACATAGGGAAGTCGAATTTGTACCTCATGATTGGAATGTCCAATTGCGATCGAAATGGTGGTTCCCTGGGAGCTCGGAACCCCCATCCTTTGTGGTTTCTCACCAGTTCGATCTCAATGCCGGAGTCGGCATCAGATGCTGCACCATTTCCCAACTCAGCTTGGTGCATTAGAACAGCCGGCTCCTTTCCCGGTCTCCTGCCCTGTGGATTCAGTCCTTGTTGTGAGATCGACGGTGCCGCCGTTCTGGCTCCGTTAACTGACGAGCCTCTCGGAATGGAGTTCATCAACGGTGGTGCCAGCCTATTGAGCCGGATTATTTTTAGAATCTCATCCTTCCAACTATTCAATTTAGCATCTACCTGAGCCATGATTCTGTCCAATAATTCCTAGACTGTCTTAGATTGCTCATCCATCCGGCTACTCATGTCTGCTACGGCTGCTTCCAGTCGGTTTACTCTGGCCTCTATGAGGGCTCTGATACCCGGTGTAAAGCCCTAGGCTACTACGTACAGAGAATAAGGGAGAAGATAGAATGTAGAGAGAGAGAGAGAGAAAAGAGAAGAGAGAGAAGAAAGAAAAGGGAAATGATCTGAATGTTATTAGACAAAAAACAACCAAGAGTGAATTCTCATCTTATTACATTTCACTGACTGCCAAAAACTAACAAACTTAACTAACTAAGCCTTCGAAACGACGTCGTCTACAATTTGGCTTCAACCGCTGAAAATTGCTAGTCATCCAACGGTGTCATTTTGCTGGCCTCCATATGTCTGTTTGTTAGGATCGTTCACTGAGGGCATTACTTTGGGTCAGAGTCATCAGGAAGCCAAGGATGTCCCCGAATCAAAGTATCCTCACCATTCCCAATACGTCGCCTAACACCACTACAGATTAAGTCCTGAGCTGCCAGAATATTATGCTAACAATAACTTAGGTTACAACTCGAAGTAGCATCCAAAAAAGAGCATTTAGGATAATACCTGGCTTTATACACTTTAGCCATCATTCCCACCAAAGAGTCTGGCTTTGTCAGGAACCTCCACACCTGTTTACCAAGCTTGGCTAAACTAAAGGCAAGAAGATCCTTAAAATCCAAATCTCCAAACTTTTTAAGGGCACATAATATGTCCCATGTCTTCCAATGAATTCCTCTCTCATTACCCGTCCTCCACCAATAACGATTCATAACTCTCTCAATGGCTGTACACACTGAATCAGGCAGCAAGAAAACACTCATAGTAAAAGTAGGCATGGCTTGAGCCACACTCTTTAATAGAACTTCCTTACCTGCCTGAGACAGAAGCTTTTTGTTCCAAGAGCCAATTCTTTGTCTTATCTTGTCCTCAATATAGGAGAAGGTCGCCCTCGTGTTCCTCCCCACAAAAGCAGGCAGTCCCAAATACTTGCTAAAATTAGGAGCCTGAGAAACTACTAAAACCTGCGCCACATCCTCCCTATAAGCCTCTGAGGTATTCCTGATAAAACACACACAACTTATGATAATTAACAGTCTGCCCAAACAAAGCCTCATACATAGATAAACAATTCTTAATCTCGCCAGCTTCAGAAGCATTTGCTTTAAAAAAAAAAAAAAAAAAAAAAGTTGTCACCCGCAAAAAAACAGATGAGATTTTGGGGGAGGGGGGGGGGGGGGGGGGGGGGGGAAGAGGGCACCCCTGGCAAGCATGTTTCGTAGAAATGACCATTCCGTTCTATCATAAGCCATTGCCATATCTAACTTCAGAGCACCCTAGCTAACCGCCCCGCACGGTTTCCTATTCAGATAGTGGCCAACCTCAGCAGCTAAAAGATATTATCAGTAATAAGTCTGACAGAAATTAATCCCTCCAATAACGGCTTCATTCTATTTGCAATCATCTTTGCCATAATTTTATAAATAACATTACACAAAGCAATATGCCTAAGATCAGACACAGTCTCAAGAACCATTTTCTTGAGGATAAGCACCACATTTGTATCATTTATACCCTCCGGGAACAAACAAATATTCACGCAATTGATTACGAAGGCCGAAACATCACCGCCCACCACATCCCAGAACATCCCAAAAATGCTGATAAAAACCCGGGTTCATCCTATCTGGGCCCAGAGTTTATCGGGAAACATATAGAATAAGGCAGTTTTGACCTCCTCCAGCTCAAAACGGGCGAAAGAAGGTGTCATTTTGGCATTGTGTTAAACGATGAGCCACCTAGTAAAGAAAGGGTCCCCACCCGTATGATTGTTTGAGTGGAAAATAGCATCAAAATAATTCATAACAACACTCTTCATAGCATCCCCCTCCACCCAATTCTCATCCACATTTTTTAGCCTAGAGAGAAATTTTCTTCATACGGTTACAAGCATACCTGTGAAAAAATTTAATGTTGACATCGAAGACCATCTGGATAGGGATTTCCCCCGCGTTTCTCATGCTGAAAAAGAAGGGTCATTAAAGTCACCTAAAACGATCCAAGGGAGGTCCGATTTAGATGCAAGAGATTTCAGCAACTCCCACGACTCCCTCCTCCTATTTCGTTCAGGGAAGCCGTAAAAGCCAGTCATTCGCCAATTAGAGAAACATGTCATACTAACCTCAACATCCACATGATTCTTTGAAACGCTCAAAATCCTTTCAGTATTATTCTTTCGCCACAAGAAAGCCAAACCACCACTCAAACAAGTACTGTCAACATAAAACAAATCGTCGAAGCCAAGCTTGACGCGGTGACGTTCAGCATGTATCTGCCTCACCTTGGTTTCCATAAGAAATACAAAATCGGGCTTCTTACGAGACGCAAGGTCTACTACTTCTCGAACTGTGCGTAGATTGCCCAAGCCACAACAGTTCTAACTCAACGTACTCATTGGGTCGGGCGGGCCTAGGAACCAGAACCCGCCAAGGACAAGTATTTTTGCGCATCAAACATTGTCACATCACCACTACCACCACCTATCCGTCTACCACCGCCACCGGACAGCTCACGATGACATTTGGAAACCGCCACCACCACTGCACTTTCCTCCCTCACCGCCACCGGACCCTCACTGTGCACACACGGATCACTCCCAGATACCGCACCACCGGCCGAACTACAATGCGCCAGCCCCTCTGGAGGAACAAGCCATGGATCACCAGCTTCCCCCTGCTCGTAAACCCTCCCCGAAGGAATACTAGTCAACTGGTAACACGGAGTCTCTCGCTTGAACGTAACCCAACATGTCGACTTATCCCTCTTCACCAACTTCATGCGTCGTTTAAGTGGCTTTGATATGGGAATTGATATCCGAACCCAATAAAAAGTCTTCCATGGTGCACCTGCGTATCTTGTATCACAGCGTACAAAGGAACCGATGAAGTTCCCTATTTGCTCGAGGATCACGTCAGACGTGTACCCCAAAGAGAGATCATGCAGCTGCACCTACATGTCAATCGAATCTAGAACCACCTCTCCGGGAAGAACCCCACTCGCCACCAGCCTACAGACCAGGGTATTATTCTCGAATGACCATGGCCCCTCCTCAAGAGCACGTTCCATGTCCGTTTTATGATAGAAAACGAACAAGAACAGGTTAGGTTGAATTTCAGTGACCTGGACACCCTTGACTGGTTGCCATACCGAGGCCATAACATACCGCATAAACTCCACCTTCACCAATTTATTTGTCAAGAAACGGCCTAGACCATGTCTCCTCCACCCCGCCAACTGCTCTGATCCCTTCTCCCACTGGTTCGAAAGCAATATCTTCGTCCTCGAGGACCATATCGGCCCAACATTCCGTCAAGCCAACAATACCATCCGACGACGCTTGAACAACCATGCACACCAGTGATCGCAACCAGAAGAAACAAGAAAAAAGTAAAACCCTAGAGTACTAGGGAAGAAAAGCAAAAAACCCTAGACTTCAGTTAATAAATTATATACGTATTACAATTAACATATTATATACTTTTAATTTATTTACATGTACATAGTTTGTGCAAAGTGAACCTTGATCCAAAATATAGTTTGCCAAAACAATGTCTGGCCATTTGAAAATAAATTGCAAAATAAATTATATCGTCTTCAAAATTGGCTGATGGCGATAAATAATAACTAACTAGGGTTAGTAATATTGTATGAAATAAGATTTACTTTGATTATGTTAAGAATTAGAGCATTATTATTTACAACAAAAGACATGGTGAATATTTATTTAATTTTCTTATAGCCACGTACCAGATTGTGATTCACCGTTGGTGTATTCATTATAGTGACGGTACATCAAATAATTACTCTAATAATAACATACATGTCAAATATAAGATTAGCCAAAATAAGCTATCAGTTTGCGACCCAGTAAAGTAACAGAATAAGAAGACTGGTGTAATACATCACATGTGCTATAAAAAGTAATTGACAATCAGAGCGTACAACTGTCCCGTCAACAAAAGCCACTGCTACACCACCCTCACTTCAACAAATACCTCAGACCATGTTTTTCCAGGGTTCTGTATCTGTAGTGGCAGGACGACACAGCTTTATGGCACTACAACTGTGCAAGCAACCAGGGTAAAAATGTAAACCACAATGACATGATGATCAGGAAAACAAGGTAGGGTAGTGTGGCCTGCACGGGCTTAGCTTAGTAGGCCGTATTTGGGAGAAGAGACCAATGTTCAAACTCGGTAGCAACAGTGTGGGAGTTATGCTCAAAGTGGGCAAATCCCTTGTGCGCACCGGCATTTGGCCCTGTCTGCTGAGCCATGAGTTACCGTGATTTATCTCCTCACACGTGCTCTGTCGGGCCAGGGCATGGGGGGCCCTTAGGGTTGGGGATTCAACCTTTTGGGGGAAAGTAGGGCAGTGTGGAATGAAATTTACCTCTTGCCGACATCGAATGTATTCATAGCTCCGAACGTTCTTATTTTGCCATCTCCATTGTTGTATGTATGGCAATCAGAACTTTTCCAAACAATGGAACTGCCATAACCTTTGAGCCTCTTCAAGTGAGGAAGGAGCTCCACAAAGCCGAGGGATTGCAGTGGTGTGCATCAAGTAGGAATATATTCAACTTTCGACACATCCACACCAAGCACCCTCGGATGCTAATGCCTGCATCCTGCCTATGCAAAAATGTTCTGCTCAACAGCTGCCTCAGATCATGAACTCTCAACATGCTGAGGCAGGATGCAGGCATGGCCCATGCCCCTTATCGGGGCCGGGCTAATCCAAAACTTGCATCAGGTTGCTGGTGATGAGACTGCAAATAAACAAGCAGATAACAATCAAATGAGTATTGAACTTCATAATTGCAAATGACAGCTAGAAAAGCTGGGTGTATGAAAGTAAAACAATATTTTCCCACCTACAGAAGAGAAGAAAACCAGACAACCAATACATGAGAACATGTCAAATATGTAGCAGAACTGACTAAAGCAATGTGCAGCTTCTTTGTACACTTCAAGATGTAGATTGCATGTGAATCACCTACCCTTTTTCCCCTCCCCAGTGTAAGGGGGATATCAAAACAAATAATTTGACATACCTGTGTAAAGGGTTGGGGAACTTGAATTTGTTCATGATGGTGGATGAAAGGCATTCCAGGGCGCTGACAAGGATACTGAGTTGAGTGCAAGTATAAAGCAGAATTGGACCGCATACCAACATGATTGGCATTGAACGGAGGTATCATGGTCTCAGCCCGCCCATATCCAATGCCTGGAGCTGATGGTGCAACCCATGGCCCAGGTAAGCGTGGAGGAAGTGGGCAAGGTTGATGTTCAGCAGATATAGGAGGCCGATGTGTTGATCCAAGTTGTGGAAACTCAGTGTTGTAGTTCAAAGCAGGAGCATACATTGGTTGAATAGCATAAGGTCCTCCAGTAAATCCAAACCCTGGGTCAAATCTTTGCAGGTATCTGTAAAATTCACATTGAACACATTCTAGAATTACCAATATGTAAGGAATCAGTGTGCACAAATCTCCAAATCCAGATGGAACCATTTTACATGCATAACCCAGATTCAACAACCACAAGAATATCAAAAAGCTCAATATCAGAAAACTAAGAAAATAGAGGAAACGGAATGAGGATGGATTAAAAAATACCAAGAATATGCATTCACAATATCAAAAACAAAAGGTCATACAACCGGGAATCTCAAAGTCAAAGCCATCCATATGCTCTGACTAAAGTAGGAACAAATAGACTCACCACCATTAGATGATAATCCAATAGATCACAAGACAAATAAACAAAGACACTTATTCAAGGAAGAATCGACACATGATGACAATTATCAGAAAACCAATGAGAGAAACAAGAATACAAGCAAATAAGCAATAAAGCACTTCAAGTTTCCACCTTTTCTGAGCCAAATGGAAGCTTGGAAGAAGGAAGAAGGGAGAAGAATATACCTGTCATAGTTACGGTCATAATCAGGATCCTTGCGATCAAATTCACGATCCCTGAATATTGCCACCCTATTACTAGTTTTAGACCTACCAATCTGCTCCTTTTCAGTCCTACTTCTAGCTGATCTATTGCTACCAGTTGAAGAATCAAGGGAACCCCTGCCAATATTCACTTCAGAACTCCCTGCTGAACTGGCCTTTTCGTCTACCTTTGGCATTCTTTGTGAAACATGCTGGGAAGTGTCCTGCATCTTTGATTCACTTTCAGTTTTTCCATTGGCAGTCCCAACCAAATTATTTGAGCTAAAAATCCGTGCCCTTGCCCTATTGTATTCTTCTTTTCTTTCCTCCACACTTTTTGAACTATTATTCTTTAAAGATTGTGAATTTGCAGAGCCAATAAACTGGGAACCTCTTTGTGGTCTCTGCTTAATAGCAACTTTGATGACACTGGTGTCCTCCTGGGGCAGATTTACAGGAATGTCAGCCAGGCGAATTGAAGGCATTCGACTTTCAGAACTTTTGCATACAATAATACGGGATCCAGATCCATCTGGATTGTCTACTAAGACCATTGACGTGAGTGAGTAGTGCTGAGCTACACGATGAGCAGCCAGTCGCAAATAGGAGGTAGGCAGCTGTTGGAACTCCATTTGTTGCCGGGATGGATCTCTCATGAATTTTTCAACATCCTGTTCCATTCTTAGAACTGGACACAATAAAACACAAGGAACATAAATTACTATACCCATGAAAAGTATCAATTAGCATATTATCTCTTCAAAAATAAATCTGAAAGTAGAGCAAACTACCAGTCTACCAGAAAAGAACACAGATGCCACAATTGAAAGCATTACAAACAAAAACAAAAAAACAAAAAAAAAACAAAAAAACAAAAAAAACAAACAAAAAAAAAACAAACAAAAAAAAACAAAAACAAAAAAAACCAAAACAAAAAACAAAACAAAACAAAAAAATCATAGAGAGCTTAATGAGAAAGTTGGCATTTTATAACCACCATATGTATCTATACCA